AGGGAAACCAAGCGGCTCCTTTAAAGGGGAAATTAATGCCTTCATTTACATATTTCTAGGTATAAAGATGCCCCCTCAGTGCATTAATCTCACAGTTTATATGGCTGATTTTCACATAACATGCCACTCTTAATAAAAGCAAAGGGAAACTCCTTTTCTTTAAACTATAATTTAATAGGAAAAACAGCAGGTTCATATTAGAGTAATTGAAACAAAGACTTGCAAAATTTCAGAAATTCTCAAAAGTGGTTCAAAAGGAGAGGTTGTGAATGTGCAATAAAATTGGAAGGAGATATTTTTAAGATAGAACATGCCCTACACCATTTCTGACAGATGGCAATCCAGTCTCTTCTTTAAAGCCTTCAGTGATGAGGCTGCCACGACTTCTGAAGGAAACTTCTGTTCCATGGGTTGATTGCACTCACTGTCAGGAACTTCCTCCTTATTTATAGGTTGCTTCTCTCCTTGATTAGTTTACACTCATTTCTTCTTGTTCTACTCTCAGATATTTTGGAGAATAGATTGACTCCCACTTCTTTAGGGCAACCCCTGGGATATTGGAAGACTGCTATCATGTCTTCCTTCGTCCTTCTTTTCATTAAATGAGACATACCCAGTTCCTGCAAACGTTGTTCATATGTTTTAGCCTCCAGTCCCCTAATATTCTTTGTTGCTCTTCTCTGCACACTTTCTAGAGTCCCAACATCTTTTTATACTGTGGTGACCAAAACTGGATGCAGTGTTTCCTAAGTCTTTATAGATTAGTATTATTACCTCATGTGATCTTGATTGTAGCCCTCTGTTAATGCCATTTAGGATTGCCTTGGCTTTTTTGGCTGCCTCCGCACACTGTTGGCTCATATTTAATGTTGAACTCAACCATGGCTTCACAATGAGGAATAAATACTCTCAGTGAGTGTTTATCAGTGATGGCTTCCTATCGGTTTTGACCGCTTTGGCTGAAGTGATAATGGTTTGGCTGGAACTGGCAGTGACCCAGGCCTGCCATGACCCTGAACCGGTTCTCCAGGCAGCGTCATAGGCGCCACCAGCCTGTTTTTCACTTCTTCTCATGGGCAAAATTTTTTTTATTGTACTGCACATGTACAATCAAATGCATGGACAGCATGTCTATGAGTAAACCGGCAGTAGTGCCTCCCGGAACCCATCCCTGGTGTCTGTGTGTGTGTGTCTCTGTGTGTGTGTGTGTGTGTTAAAATGTCCCTTCGTGNCCAGGTCTTCTCACATCCCCTCCAGACTCCAATAACTGGGCTTGAGATTGGACTCCTGAAACCAAAAACATTTTTATGAAATCTTCTATATACAAAAAGAGAATATGGACAGAAATTCTTCATAGAGGGGAAAAACTACCTTGAAGGAACCCTAAGAAGGACACCAAATTCAACCACAGGATCATTTTTTGCTCCCTGTAACCAATGAAAGGAATGGATAGGAATGGATTGAGGAAAGTGGACAAACTTTGTGTGTTTGGGTGTAGCCTGAAAAGGGAAATCAAGTGGTTCCTTTAAAGGGGAAATTAATGCCTTCATTTACATATTTCTAGGTATAAAGATGCCCCCTCAGTGCATTAATCTCACAGTTTCTATAGCTGATTTTCACATAACATGCCACTCTTAATAAAAGCAAAGGGAAACTCCTTTTCTTTAAACTATAATTTCATAGGAAAAACAACAGGTTCATATTAGAACCTGTTGTTACCCGGGCAGCATCATAGGTGCCACCAGCCTGTTTTTCATTTCTTCTCATGTGCAAAAACAATTTATATTGTACTGCACATGCGTGCACAGCACACATCAAATGCGTACAAAGCATGTCCATGAGTAAACTGGCAGTAGAGCCTGCTGGAACCCATCCCTGGTGTTTGTGTGTGTGTGTGTATGTGTGTGTGTTTGTGTGTGTGTGTGTGTTAAAATGTCCCTTTGTGCAGTTTTCATTTTCAGCAAAGATCTGAGGCACCGTTATACATTGTAGAAACTTCCTCTGAATACAAACACCAATGAATACATCATTTTATCAAAAATTCTGGGCTTTAGGGTGAGGATTATATCCTCCTGAGATGTGAAATTTTCCTGAGAGAATTCAGTAAACTATTGTGGAAACAGTAATAAAAAAATCATGTCTCAGAAATGACATAATATTTAATGAAACTTGTTTTATTCCCTAGCCCATCCTCCACTTTGTGCAGAGGAGTTTCATGTGACAACACTGCCCCCTAGTGTCCAAAGTGAGGAGGGGAGGCATCTTCCTAATATTTCCTCAATATCTATATGGCAGTTTGGATATTTAGAAAGATTATGCTATAGTTTCATTTCCTCTTTTCTACCATGATAGTAATGGACTATTTTTAATTCCAGTTTGTTTCTAAAACCAGA